CGCCGCCGCCGCCGCCGACATTAAATAAAAAAATCCTACACCGAGGTATAGGTAATATACCTAATATATATACATAATAATAACGTGTAAACACAATGCATATTATAATATTAATTTATCGTACAACACACGATAATACCCTTTGCGGCAACGGCAAAAAGGCGATTCCGACTTGTGCGTGTTTGTATGTTGTTCATTTTATACTACCGCTGTCGCTCTACATACTATTAGGCATTATTACCTATATAATGGTCCGGGGATCGTGAGAATTCCGGTTTAACACGCCCATCGACATACATATATATGTAATAATATAATAATTCTTGTAATTTGCCAACGCTGGTCGCAGACATCCGGTCATTGCCAAAAAAAATATTTCAATAAAAAAAAAAGCAGCTATACTCAGATATTAACTCCACTTTTTTTCAAATTGCTAATAATAGCGTGGTCGGATTAACCCTTCGTTAGTGTGTTGGGGTTTAGTATACCCATAAGTACTCCCATAAGTTAAACTAACAACAAATCTTAAGCAAATTTGAAAATAAATGCTAAATATTTATACAACTTAATTTCATAACAACTTGTATGTATAGGATTAAGTTACTACTACAAAAAACAATATTTTTAGTAAACATTTTTTTAATAGAAAATATTATTTTTGGTATTGAACTTGTAAATTAATTAATATAAAATAAAACCCTTTTCTTAAAACATGTTGTTTTTCATAATTAAATAATCACTTTTAGGTTAAACTATTCGTCAGTAGACAAATTAATTTTCAGTCATCTTCTTCACTTTTTCAGTCTTTGGTAACATAAATATAAATTGGTACATGAATAATGTGTTGGGGTTTGAAATACCCGTTTATCGATACGAATCGGTTCAAAACACAATAACATTAAAACTTGTGGTTATTTATCAACCAAAACGGTTTTTGATCATAAAGTAACATAGAAAGAAGGATTGCATGGAAAAGAAAATTTCATCTAGTTTGATAACTATTAGTATCACACAAAATCCTATCACGTGGGGTTCAATAAACCCCAGCACGCTAACGAAGGGTCAAAAAAGTGTATAATTTTCAGTGGCCAAGATAAGTAACTCCATAGTTGAATTGTTCACCACTAGAACGCGCTAAGAAAATTGACAATTGTACTTGCATGGGTACATTGTTTCGAATAACTTTAATTGCCTGTCCTGAAAAATTTCATTTCATGCAGTTAATCGTGGAGTATTTATTTATAGGTGGCCAATAATAATCAACAAAAATCCCGTACGACTGTGTTTTAAACTGTTTGAAAACGGGTTTTTTTTTTTTTTAACATTTCCGCACGGTCATGTGTGATCTACAACCCGGCAACGTCGAGCCTGATCCCGCGGGCGGTGGAGCTGCCGTCAGCGGGCAGGCGATAAACGTGTTGGCGCCCGGCGTCTTATTGCACTGCGGTGAACTGTTGCACGACTTGTTCAGGCGGTACGTGGCGGCCAAACGGGACTTTGGCTGCTTGCCAAGACAAAAGACCCGTGAACGGACCTGTGACGATGGCAGCGATTGCGAAGACCGTTGCAATCGCAGTGGGTGTGCCACTACGGTGATGGACGAAATGCTGCGAAAACGGTTTGACCTGGTGTACGATTTGCTGTCGCACCGACTTGAGCCGCATGTCGGGCCCGACCGGTACCGACAACAGTCGGGTTGGTCGCCCCGAAGGCTCCGCGAAGATCTGACGGCGTTCGCGGTGCACGATTGTAGGTTGCACAGGATCAACAGATACGTGTTCGGCGGGGCTAGGTCGACGGGAAGGAATTGGGGACCGACCGCCCAAGCAGCCCTGACGGCGGTCCGCACTTGGAGGAAGACGTTTGCCGACAACCGAGGTGTGCCGGACGGGCTGATCGTGGCTTACGAGCAAGCCGCATGCGCTTCGCTGCATCCCTACGAAACGGCCTTGGTGGCGTTCGCCGTGTTCGCCTTTCTGTTGTGAGTCACAATCTTATCTACCCTACAACAGTTAGTGCCGGCGCCAGGTATTGCGGGGCCCTGGGTCCATAATTGTTCATGTTTAAAAACACTATAATAGGTACTTATAGTTATATCAAGTATATAGCCTAGGTGACTCAGTTGCTCAACTGTCTAGCTGTAAAGCTACAGGGTTGGGGGTTCGAAACCCAATAAAACATAAACAAATGTATAGGATATATACTTTGCAGCTCGGGAAAATGTCCATAATATTTATTAATAGCTAAAGATTTTTAAGGGGAAACTCAGTTTCAAATTCTCCTATAACGGGCCTCCACTGAAAACAATAAATGGTAAAACTAACCCTGATACGAACGCAGTACTTATACTAGAAAACCAAGTTCTAATAATTATTTCATAAAATGAAAACTTACTTACTAAATCGCTGAAAAAATCTTTCTTACAAGTTCAAATGCCGTCAAATATGAAAAATAATAATAGATAATCAAACAAATATTTTAAGAATATAGCTCTTGCCCCTTCTATAATACGGCTACGCGGAATAAGCGGATAGCGTTCCCAAATAAAGAACAGGGATAACATTAACATAATATTTTTTTTTATTATTACTTTAGTATATTCCTACTTAGCGTGTATTGCCAAAATATACCTCTCTTGAACCGTGGTAACAACGATTTATTTTGTACTATTGCTAAATTTAGATATTGTTTTCTAAATAACTGTTTACCTATACATAATATTTTGTCATAACACTTCATAGAAATCATTGAATCATATTAATATTACACATTTATAGTATAGAATAATAGAACTATGGATTAATAGTTTTTATTTGTCAATGTATTTCACGGTATTAAGATGCTGGACATATGTCCCATTTGTCCTCCCCTAGCGCCGGCACTGTCAACAGTTCCCCCCTCTTTGGGTTCTGTACAAAAAAAAAAAAATACCTCTAGGATTAGTCAGTACGCCTAGTCCCTAGTTCTACCCACTTCCAACCGACTGCGCCATCTCATGTTCTCATGAGAATCGAGACAACTCGATGTATGTGATAACGATGAACAAATCCTGTCCTAATACAGTGCATCCATATATAGTGGGTGTACGACCTAGAACCGCTATGAATAAGAGATTTCGGTGGCAATATGCCTAAGCGGTATTTCTGGCAGTACATTCTCATACGGATATCAATTACCATATTATTATCGTGTCTTAGGGGCTATAACTCGTCCAACGGCGTAGACGTGACGATCACCCATTCGTTTAGGGAAATCAAAGCGTTTGAGCAACCACCGAATTTCCAGCAAGTGTACAACGCGTCCGTAAGGCACGCCAGGAAGTTTATGTACAAAATCCGAACTTGCAACGAGGAACGAGCTGCACGGTTGTTTGAACGGTATTTCGGTTCTTGTTCGGAAAACCACAAGCAAGTGACGGCACTATTAAGATGGGCTTTTAACAAGACGGTCGCGTGCGATCACGGCTCTTACCCTTGGTCGTCTAACCCTTTTTGCCTAAACGCCGTCGACGTCCATCTGGATCATCCGTGCGGTAACCGATTGCCCATAGCGCCCAGTCAGCTGATTCGGTTGCGCATGTGCTACAGGTGGCTCTCCCAAGTCGTTGGCCAGCTGTTGAGGTGAGCAAAAACCGATAAAACTAATTGTAAATGCGTTAAAAGATTGACTTGACTCGTTTTGTAGTGGCAAGTCTTGTGACCGGCTGTCGAGATTAGACGACCACGTTCAAATATGTATGGGCAGCTTGACCAAACTGTGCGCCTCCCCGTTGTACGACGAAGCGTACAATTTGGTGTGGAAGCACTTTGAAAGTATATTCCAAGAGCACCGGTGTCCGGAAAATGAAATGGAAACTTTTTACAAATTTTGGGACGACAACACGTTCAAAGGGTTCGTCAAGACGGTAATACTGGAGTTTGCCCGAGACTTGCTCGACTTCCAGTGCTTCGACAACAGTAGTGTCAGCTCACAAGAAACTTCCAGTGCCGAACTTTCTACTTCCACCGAATAGCGTTCTTGTCAAAAAACAAGCACAACTTACAACTAGATGTATTTTTTTGTTGAGTTTTAATTCGGTGTTGTTATTAAACTTATCATTGTTGTAAAAATAGCGTCCATTCTTTTCTGCTGTGAAAACAGTTTTCCAATTTCGTTGGACATATTATTTTATATTATTAGAAACATAACTTGTAAGGAGATTTTCTTGTTTTAAAAAGGCTACCTAATGAAACCCTGTTCGACAAAAGCGAGTGTGCACTCTTTGTTGGCTTTTAGAAGGTTTTGGTTTACCGACCAAGTCCAATTGTTTGAATAATCTTTAAAAAAAAACAATGTTCGCATATTTGTGGAAAAAAACATAAATAACAAGCCGAAAATTATGTTATTTTGTACTCGCGCATGTGATAAAAGTCTGATCTAATATTTTGATTTAAAAAAAAAGTACAATGGCAGTTATCTAAATAATTATTTAAAACCACTGATTATTTGTACAAACAATAAGTACAATGCGCAACAAAACGCATCATTATATAGGTAAATAGTATATTATCTTATGGATCATAGTAATAGCTGTACTAATGCTATAGTAGGTATAGTAACATAGATTGGCACTATTGCGACAAGGGCGGATGGGTAGTTTTTTAAAAACGCCTTCGACCATCGAGAATGGTAAAAAAAAAAATTGCTGGTTAAGCTTTGGTTAAACTTAAAACTAGAAGATCATGAGCAACTATAACAAAACGCTTTGTCCGGGTAACATGAACAACCAAATCAGTTTTGTTCATCATACAATCATACATTTCCATCATAGTCTATTGTTCATATACAAATTATCGACAATTACTAAAATTATATATATGTTTTTCTTTCAAGGTTTTTTCAAACTCGGTGACAATTATTTTTCGATAGAAAAACCATGTAAAAAAAAAACATGGTCCCAAACCAACTCAAACGTCCGCTGCGACGAGATTAGTCCAGTATTAGACTCGTTCTTGATTGTTATGTTAAAAATTGTTAACGGACTTTGTTTGAAAATGACTTCAAGACATTATATTTTGACATTATTTTTATTTAACTTGTACTTTGTTTCGATACACGTGATGGCGGTGAGTGGTATACCTAAGCTAAGCGTTTGTAACAGCTAATAACAGAATATCTCTAACGAAAACGGTATTAAAGTTAGGTAATAGATAATAAGCGTTTTTGAATACTTTCAGTTCAATCCACTTTTCACATATTTGTTACGCTTTACAAGAATTGATCTGTATCCTAATGTCAGCGGTACTTTAGAAATCGACGAATACAAAGGCAAACATTACATGAACGGCAAGATTTTGATTGACTCGCCGTTGCTAATAGACACTGTGAGTATGGTATTATTTTCTGAAACTTCTGTCTCTCTCAAATACAATTATTTACACTATTGTTTAGTCGAGACACACATGTTTAGTTGAATACAAGTGTATTTTATGGTATACTAACCAAAACTACAAGCACAGTGTGATTGGTGTGTAGAAAATCTCAAATCACCAGCCGTTGCGAATTTTGATAATCACTGTAAGCGATAAAAAGTTGGGCAGCAGATAAGAAAACTGAACAGAAAATGAGTGTAGTGGAGATGAGAGTGATGAAATGGATGAGTGGAGTGCTTAGGGCGGATAGAATAAGAAATGAATACATACGGGGGAGTTGCGGATCAATTGTGGAGAAAATGAGAGAGAATAGGTTGAGATGGTTCAGAGGGCAGTGATAGGTGTTATGAAGATGACTGTGACCGACCCCATGTAGTTGGGAGTGTAAGGCGAAGATAAAGAAGAAGAGAAGACATGACAACGCTTCACGTGTATATTATTTTGACAGGTTGTAATTATTAGACTAGTATGTTAGTTTCGATTAGACCCACTCAAGTTAGTGCACCTATTCTATGTAACTAAAATCAAAACCTCTTGTTATTTGTTTGCTTTTAAAGCTCTGATAAGCTTATGCCGTTTGTTCGATGCGTTTTATAGGTAGTCGGTGTACTCGACCGTTGTGATCTCGAAGGCATAAATTGTGAATACTTTCAAACGTGGACTCTCGACAACGTCTGTCCGAAATTATTACAAAAACATCAAGTTTGGTCCAGTTGGTACGGCGCTTTCGATCCGCCAATGGTCTGTCCGCTGAATAAAGTAATCATAAGTTAATTATTATTATTTCCTTAAAAAAAAAAAAAAGGTATTTATTTTATTCGACGTATTTAGATTAAGAGATAGTTAAAAATCTGTTATTAACTTATTATTATTGTTGTTGTTGTTCAGAGAAACTATGCTCTTAAAAATGCCACATTCGCCGTAGAGCCAATTGTTGCTTTGTATGGGGAAGCGACAAACTATCATTGGAAAGTGAAACAATTATTGTACTCCAATAAAATTTTAATAGGCTATTATACGGTTCAATTCAAATTTTTCGGTTACAGGAAGAAACTTTTCACCAAGCATGTTTAATAATTGTGTTTGGAGTAAAAAACCATTTCATTAATGATTTTATGGTTTTCGTTAAACAGCACATCGTACCTATTGCATTGTTAACTCATATTTATTATTTTGCACTACACAAAACTGTCTACATATAAATTTGTTTATGTTTAACATCGGTTACTTACAACAATTTTTAAACACCTTTATTATTTACCTGTATACCGTGTGGTGGTGAACAATCAGTTATAATTAAATATTTTTCTTTGTTTACTATAAATCATAACTATATCACAATAAACAATTCTGATTTACCTGTTGTCATTTTTTTTTCTCTTCTTCATTACTCTTTCTCGACTTAATTCAATAGGCTGCGGTCCTTGGCTGAATATTTATAAATTGATTGGCAGAACTTTTATAGAAAATAGCAAGTCCGGTTTTGGTTTGTTAGATCATCGTAAAAAAAAAACATACCTAGCAATTAATTCCGCCATGACAGGTAAACTGTTCTGTATAAATAGTAGCCAAATGAGATTAAACATATTATTATCACTGAAACTTGGTGAAAGAACCACAAATAATGAAAACGTTATGGGTGTGCTTGGATGCATACATGGCCGTGTGTACGTGGGGAAAAGTAAAACCAGACAGGCACTATTAATATAATAAATCACGACGGCAATAAGCCGCCGTAATGCATACACAAGCTCCAGCGACTGGCAACGGAAGCGGAATGCAATACTATGTGCACAGGCATACACCAAACAGTAACATATTAATATTAGGTATAATCCTTTGGACAAATGTTGTAAGCCGCTAACGTTGGTTCGCCATCGTTGTACACACATCACGTGCACGCTCGTTATATTAATGCGCTACAAATTTAGAACAAGCTATCTGCTGATGCATAATACCGTACAGTTCTGGACCAAAATAACGGTGCACGACAATAGGAAAAACCTAATCAGGCGGTTTTTTTTATACATATATTACATGGGAACAAACTGCTGTGTTCGCATTGCATATATTTAGGTATTTTGACAAGCGATCGAGGTTATATGTGATATAATATAGTTCCCGGTAATAGTTTACAAGTCTGAGCTCAATATGATGTCTATAAATCATATACACTAGAGGTTAGGTTCAGAGTAAGCTGGTAAAAATCGCCATCAAACAATCAGGTTCATCTCAGTATTGGAATCCACAAAGGCGCTATCGACCACTACACACACACACACACAGACTGATCCATCTGATGTAAAATTTTACAGAATTAAGAATTTTAAGGGCTACTGGATTTTTGGAAAACCCAAGACAGAGTATGACAACTATAAGGTAGGAAATGCGCAGCATCTCTGCAAAGTCATAGCAAATGAGATCAGGTTGATAATATGAATGACAAATTTAACGCCGACACTTTTTTTAAAAATTGTTGTCTACATATTTGTGGAATTAACTTATGTTCTCATTTGAAAAAATAAATACAGTATGATAATAATGTAAAAACAAAATATATCTACCTACATAACATGCCATCAAATATATGTAGGTACACCCTGTATAAACGGATATAATATGCCATTATTGAACAATTATTGTTCCGTATTATTTATTATTTCCGATTTAAGGATAGATAAGAACCCATCCAGGCGACCAAGTAACACTATTGTGAAGAAGCTTGTCGGTGACTTTAACGCGCGTTGCGTTTGACAGCAGCCGTCATCGCACACCGTTTAAATGATATGTTATGTACCTATTATCCGTTTACACTATAACCGTCTTACACTATATTTCCTCTCGATTACAACCGTGTGTGTGTGTACCGCTCGATCCATTAATCATATTTTCGGCGGCCAAATTTTATGTTTCAATCGTAAAAACCATCGTATATTCAGTTGTCTTCCATCAGGTCCACGGCAGATTCTGGATGAATACAGGGGAACACGGGGGACGCCACAATGGGTGCCGCCACCGAGCAGTGATTTTAGACATGTCTAGGGATAATAGTAATAATAATAATCACAAACGATAACAATAAACGATGACAATAATGGATTCCGCCGTCGCTCCGGCGATTATTATATGATTTTTTTTTTTTCGGATCCCCCCCTATCTCTTGCCATATCCGCGGTGGCGGCCTGAGCACAAACACACAGGATAGGGCAGATGACAGCCGCGGCGGTATCGGCTTTGTGACTCTGTTTATGGTAACATCTCTATTTGTGTGTGTGTGTGTGTGTATGTGCATATGTACACCGCTATATTATTATTATTATTATTACAGTCACCCCACGCTTTTTTTCCTTTTTTTTTTTCGCGGTCCCCTTTGTACGACACGGACAACACACATATACTTTCATATTTTTGTTTCCCCTTACTACAGTGTAGTATAGTACACCACCCGTGTGTGTACGCGTTTTATTTTTGTTGTTTGGCTTTGTCCGGTTCATTGTGCACCGGGGACGAGTTTGTAACGAAACTTATTGACAACACACACATTATACAGCAGCACATTTCAGTGCACACACACACATCCGTATAGGGGCGATCGACCTTTGCGATTGCTCAAAAACATGTACAAAAAACAGTCAAGATAAATAATTAATTAAATCGTACGTTTGACTATGCGGTTAGCCGCCAGCAGAGTCGTGCAAATTCTTATTCGGATAAAACGTTATTCGGTTAATTATTACGCAATTTTGAAAATTATTCAAATAATTTGTTTACATTTTATTCGAATTAGAAGTTATATTCAAATATAATTACTCGAAAAAAAAAACACTTACAAACTATTTAAATAGTATTTTTAAAACTTATTCGAATAATTAAATTTGAAATGATTCGAATAACTTTTTATTCGAATGATGCATAACTCGTGAGTTACACTTTACTGTGGGCTGTATTCGTTTTAACTAGGCTCTATGAAGATGGAATAATTCTGTGGTGTTTGAGCAAAAGGGGCTAATAGTCTAAACGTGCTACTTTTGGGAAAATATAAATTGAAAATTGTTTTGGTCTAATTTATATGGGAACAGTCTATATTGTATATTTTTTTATAAAAATCAATTCTTTCATTATCATAATACATAAACGTCATAGTGTTTATAACAAAAATGACACTGAAATATTGTTTGTTTTATTATACTGAAATTTCTTCATAGTGGCTGCGTTATCCAGTTTATTCTTTGATATAAACTTACCTAACCCACTAAGTACCTAAATAGACGAGGCGTGTAAAAGAATTAATTCCTTTTTTTTTTATAAATATATAAAAACGCGTTAATATTTACTCAGGTACGTGCGCCATATATACCAAAAAGGTTAAGACCGCACTTACTGTAACAATAAGCACATAAATGCTTTTCCCAAACAGCCCGAACCCTCTGTGCATAATGGGTGGTGCGTATACTGTAACAACACCGGTAGGAGCTACTTACGGGTAGAAAATTACCCTGCGGATATCTTTATAACAACACGGATGGTTTTTCAATAATATTTAGTAAAAACATACTCCACGATAAAAGTAAACGGACACTGAATAAGTATAAGTATATTTTTATACTTATACTTATATTTTGGCCGTGTGAATTTTATATTATCAATGCCAATAAAAGAATACTCCAAAGCGACGGATACAATAATATATAGGTTTTAGTGGTTGCGGGTATAAGTATGGTGGAGACAAGAGAAATAAATCTTTAGGTGAAAATAAACGCAACAGAGTGTTGACACAAACGACGATTGGCTCTGCTAAATGTTGAAGACTAGTCGGAATACAATTACTGTGAGTACGAGCAGGCATATTAGAATATTATATACCATAACGTTGCCCATATTCTATTTGGTAAACCCATAAAAGTACACAAGCGGGCGGTGGTTTCTCATAATAAAAATTATAGACCATTGTCGTCCGACTTCTGGTGAATTTTCTCAATAACAACAACACAAGTTTAACGATGATAATAATATATTACAACGGTGGTGCACACATAATAATAATAGCTGTATAATGGCTTATTTTGGGTACAGAGGTGGAGAACAAATTTCGGATAAGCATCATCCGACGTCGGGTAACAGCTCCATCTGGCCTATCTGGTTGGACAATCTTAACACACACACCTACCCGTATGTACAATAGCTTAATTGTTCGCCATTGTCATAATGTGTTTACAGGAGTATTTTTTTTTTTTTTTTGTCATTGTAGTTGTCGAATCGATGGTATCGAGTTGATTGAACGGATTTGGCTACCTATTTTCCTGGATACCGTCACCTAAACTAGTATATACTCGTACTTAAGCAGTCCGCGCACTATGGTATACCTTTGGCATCGAGTTACACGACACAGTGCAGAAAAACAACTTTGAGATCCGATTTGTAGACAACAATAAACACTATTATAATAGTATTGTATAAATAAATAACACCAGACATTTCCAACGGTTCAAACTCTGTCAAAAATTGAATTAATTTCATTCACCTGTATGTTTTGAAGTTGAGATCACAGCAAATCCCACAGCATAGGCTATCTATCATAATATGTAGAAGTAAAGATTAAAATCTCTACTTGTATAATCTAGGCATTTAAAATTGGGAAATAGTCTCCACTTATCTATACCAAATCAGTAACTACCAAGGGTAGTTAAGTATATATGGACTATTCCAATGCCAATAGAAGTCTTGAAAACTTGAAGAAACCAAACCTAACCTAATTTAACGGGGTCTTGTCCTTTACGATTTGGATGAATGGATATTAAGATATTGCTTAGAAACATTTGTACAATAAAAAAATAGTTTTAATGACACGGCTGGTTAAACACAAAGCGCAAGTGATAGCTTGACTATCTATAATAATAGTTCTAACTTTCTTTACTGGCTGTTTTTTTTTTGTCAGGCTATCACAGTAATTTCTATAGATCAAACCTAACCTAACCTAACTATATTTTCCATCAAATTATATTTGCACGAATCAACACTAATGGTGTCTTGAAATTGTTCGAACTTTGACAAATTTTCACAGTAAATAGAGCAGAACTTTGGTTGTGCTTAAACTATTTTTAATTTTCGATTACTCAATCTCGTAATTTTTAATAATTTAACAAAAAAATATTTTTAAAAAAATA